AAATCCAATTCATCACATACACACAACTGGATCAGGAGAATAACAAAAAAAAAAATCTTTAGATAGAAAAATAAATGAGAACGACCTTGGAAACTGATGATTCCGACAAGACGAGGATCAAGAACACCATTGCACAGAGACGTTGATAATTAGAGCTTCTACTAACAGGGTTGTTTTATGTAACGGTTTTTATAATAAAAAGAACTAAAAAAATATACGGACAAAAACAAAAAGAATAATAAAAGAGTTATATAATCAATCAATAAAGAAAATAAAAATTGGGTTACCAAGAGGGAAACAAATGTAGTGAAACTTGTAAGAGTAAAAAAATTTAGATAAAAAAATAGTTAAAACACTAGAGTTCCGTTGCCACTTTGATTATGTATTTAATGTATTTATTCTTATAGTAATTAGTTATTTTTAAATTTTAGAGCAAAACTAATAGTAAAATAATTCAAGATATTAAAATTTTAAATTAAAACTGGAAAAATCTTATCATAGTGAATTAATAAAATTAAAAAATAACTAATTATTATAATAATGAAATTAAAGATATATACAAAATTAATGTTTAGATAATGAATATAAAATATATTTTAATCATACAAAACCGTAAACAGTTCAATATAAAAAAATTTGTTTTTAGTTTTTTATTAATATAAATAAAAATATAAACTCTTTTTCCTATATTATTTGTTATTATATATACGTAGTTATGAATTAATAGTAATCACCGATATTGCTGTTGTTATTTTTGCAGCTAATAAAGTAATAATCCATAAAATTAATTTATGTGTACTAAACTTTGGCTAAAGTCCAAAAGTATATAGTATTTGGCCAATATAAATATTTTTTATTTTATTTTGATTATCAAAATACATTCTCATTTTCCATCCATGATCGAAAGAGCTTGTATTAGAACATATTTTAAACTACATCCTAGTATATTAAAAAAAAAAAGTGAATCATTGGCATTTTGTAACATTGTTCTGACAAATGCAATAATACTGTACTCTGTAAGAAATGACTGTTGGTGTTATCGTTTTCTTAAGCATATAAAATTATAAAAATACTAATCTAGATTTGGCACCATTGTAGTTATAAGACGAAATTATAAAAGAATTAAAAAAAGGAAAGCCAGTAATGTCACCGAATAAGACAGCCTAACCATCCCTCCAGATCATATAATATTTTGGTTTTTCGATACAATAATATGTTCCTTATATGTATTATTATCATCACCTTTATAAATTTTTAAATAAAAATTTCGTTATCGATAACGATATATTTTGTTCGTGGCATGAATGATTTTTTATTTGATTTCATTTAATTGGTTGACAACTCATATGATAATTACTCAACGTTACCCATCTTTAACATCGAAATTGAAGTTTATGATAAGATAAAATTAAATTAAATTTGTTCATATATATAGATGGGGTAGTTGGCTTTCCCAAATTTAAGTTATAGCATCAGTTAATGTTATATGTATTCGATTTCTTTTGGTCCTATACTACTACTAGTACACATTAACTAGTGATCAATTAATATATCTATTTTATTGAGTATGATAGTGAAATTTACCTGCACTAGGACTGTTACGACAAAATCTATTATAACATTTTTGAAGTACAATTTTTTGGCCACTTTTATTTAAATTTTTATCCCACCAAATGCCCTCCACATTTTGTTAATCAAGGTTATCTCATTAAGGTTAATTGTGTCATTAGTGAAGTCGGGTCGGTTTGTTTTAACAATTTACTACCCGATTGCAAAAACCGGATCCTATATTGATGCTACAATTTATTGCAAAAATCGGATCTTATATTGGTCCTATATTAATGCTACAATTTATTACAAACGGAACATTAATTGTGTCATTAGTGTTAATGTTATTATTATTTTTTGGTTGTCTCAAATTGTTTTTTTTTCTGGACAAAAGGTCGTTCCATATTGTTAAAACCAGGAAAAAGGAAAATTACAAAAGTAAACAACATATACACTACGATGAAATGC